TTATATTGAAATATATATAATAATAATATTATAGTATACATATTATTAGAGTATATATTAAACTAAAAGATAACTTAATTTATTTTTAAAAATAACTATCACGTTAATTTTGGTAAAATATATTACGTTTGTACACTATGAAGGATTAAAATAATTTAAAAAAAACTGATCGCTGATCGCACACCCGGTATCACCAACAACAAACTATATCAATCAATCAATCGAGTATTTACTTTGTTCTATAGTATGTGACGATTAATTCGAAGAAGGTTTTTTAATCTTTCCAATTGATCATTATTATTTATTTTATTCTTCACGCGATAACATATTTTTCATAAATTTGTTAATTTTTTTTTTGTTTTTTTTGGGGGTTTTTTTTTATACGCTTGCTAGTATCATCTAGTATTTTTGTTCATATAAGAATGAATTTGATGAAAAAAAAAAAAAATGTCTCGTTCAACGTTTTGATGATCGATCGATCTCAACGACTACGACGCGTGACACGAATTTTACGTCAGAGCATCAACCTTATTAAAGGTTCATTTCTCTGTCGTTTTTTTTTTTTTTATCTACGTCGTGTTTTTTCTTCTTCTTTTTCCTTTTTTATTTCTATGTTTTACATTTATACAATGAGAGATAATTTTTAAACGTTTTATGAAGCCTTAATTGCTATATCATGATTGCGATATTATAAGCTGTACCTTTCTTTTGGTTTCTTTATCGTAAGAGAGAAAATATGCGAAAGAAAAAGAAGAAAAAAAAAGAGAAGAAAAGTTACATATACACGTACGCATAATTCATACAAGTAAAACAGTAGAAATAATAACAATAGCGAGAAAAATCGGAGTTACGTTATAACGAAAGTAACCTTGAGCTAAATACCATTTAAACGTGTGTTATCTTAATTAAAAAAAAAAAAAGAAAATAATAATCTCTTGTAATTCTGAGTATCTTAAGAAGATTATGGTTTAAGATTTGTTTACGTGATACTCTTCTTTAATCTATTCATTTATTCATTTATTTATTTTTTTTATAAGCGTTGATAATGATCAGATAATATTATATTTGAAAATATTATATATAAAACATATGGAAAAATGTTTAACAAAATAATTTGTTGATTAATGAAGAGAAACTTTTGCGAATGGTTTTTTAAAGTCAACATATTCGTACAAAAAAATTAATTATTATTGTCAATGAATGTTGTAAAATTAAAAACAAAATGATAGAAATTAAGCTTTGATTTTTTAAAGTCAACATATTTGTATAAAAAATTATTTATTGTATTATTATCAATGAATTTTGTAAAATTGACGGATAGAAATTAAACTTAAAAATGAAATGGTTTGTGAAATGGATAAAATTCAGATCTTTTGTTTTTTTTTTTTTTATTTTTTTGCTTTGGATTCGTCAATTTTTAAAGCTGATTCAACGTTGCATGCAATGATAAGCCGAGTTTGATTCACGTATTCAACAAAAAGATTCGGCAATACCTGATCTAGATTATTACTTTACTTTCGATAGGAAAATATTCGAGAGGTTTTTCCGTTCGACGAAATATTAGACGACCGATTCTTTCAAGAGATATGGGCGTACCTAAAAACAAAAACAAATGCATTTTTGAAAAACCATATCTTTAAATTTTACATACAGTGGATGTAGGTAGAAAGTATTCGTATACCGATCAATTTGAAATAAAATGTAAAATTGTAGTTTGTTATTATTATTATTATTATTATTATTATTATTATTTGTAGTATTTATTATTATTTTTTGTAAATAGTTTGAAATAAAAATTGCACGAATGCTAATTGCTCGTATGTGTTTTTGCTAATTGATTTTATAATTAATTTAATGCAATTTTATAATTACAATTTTACATGCAATAATTACAATTTTGTAATTTATTAAAAAAAATTAATTTTTCATTTCATTACATCTATTGTACAGACACTTTCAAGAATATATATAAATTCATAGTTTAGAAAAAAATTAGTTAATAAACTACAATTTCAAAACAGAATTTATTTCAAATTGATCTATGTACTAATACTTTTTACACCCACTCTATATTTTATTTTTAGATATTTTTAAAAAAAAATATAGATGCATTATAGAAAGAAGGAGATTTACTTATCGTCTGTTTTGTAGTGAACCTGGTGAATATACTTATGTACTGTACTATTGTATATACACATTATTTACATATGTACATATATATATATATAGTAGTTACATATAGAAATGGCGCACGAAACCAGGATAGCCGTTTTTCCCAAGAATTCCTAGCACGTTTTAGGTAGCACCTTGTTAAAAATTTCAGGAGTTTTCTACTCAGAACCAACGAATCTTCCATTTAAAACCGAATCCGTGCTTGTAACGTTTCTCCTGGGACTTTTACTTTGGCCCTTAGTCGAACCGGTACTGCAGAAAATCGTCTCTCTCTCTCTCTCTCTCTCTCTTTCTCTCTCTCTCTTTCTATCTCTCATATATATACACTGCATATATATTTACTGCATCTCTTCTCTCATGCTCGTAAATGTAAAAGGTTTCTATAGCTTTCGAATGTAGTGACAACGTATCAATAAACGTACAATCGATATAGTCTTGTTGAAAAATTACTGCCATCACCCTTATATCGTTTTTATTTTAAATATTTAAAATTAAACCTCGATTTTTCCAATTCTGTTTATTTTTCCATCCTTCTTTTCTGTATTTAATTAACAATTTGATGAATTCTTTATTATTACGAATTAACGATTATTTCTTACGAGTTCTTAGTTATTTTAGTTAGTCATTATTTAGTTACTTTATTAGTTATTTTACGAACGACGAAATAATTATTATCTTTTGTTAGAAAAAAATAAGAAAAAGTAAATTATTAAAAAAATTCACTAAGAAAATAGTTTCGTTTTTTTTTTCTTTTTTTTATTTTAATCAAGAACTAAATTACCCTTTTGATAAAGTTGCCATAAGAATATTTATGAATACATAATGTTATTATTATAATATGAATATTTCTTATCAGGAATGGGGATGGGGAAAGTAGGTAAGTAAAATAATTGAGAATTTCATTTGTATCAGAAAATTCGAAACTTTGTTTTTTTTTTTCGTTGGTCGTTGTCGTCTTGAATGAATGAAAAAATATGAAAAAACAAAATTCAAGTATATCGGAACTCACTCACTTCATCTCTCTTATTTCTTTTTCTCATTCACTCGTTCTCGTACTTTATATCCATTTCTTATACTTTTTTTTTTTATCCACCGAGTTAAAAGTTGCGAAGATACTTTGCCGTCTTGTTCGGGTGGTTTTGCACCTCGCAAAAAGGCAAACTTGGTTTCCACTATCGCGTGAGTTGCGGTGATCGCGTGTTACTTGAAAGAAAATGAAAACTTAAAAGAGAGGAACAAGAGAGAGAGAGAGAGAGAGAGAGAAAGAGAGAGAGAAAGAGAAAAAAAATAGTTAAAAAAGACGATCATTCGAGTTTAGGTAAATGGGGGGGGTGGTGGGGTGGAGCTGGGGTAAAAGGATAAAAAAAAATTTAAGTAGAAATCATGTGGATTGGATTAAACTTTTTACAAAACGATTTCCATAATTGGATATACCGCAGAAATATTATCAACCATTTAAAGTTTCCACTTTTGGAAAGGGTTGCGGCGTTTGCACTGTTGATTTTTATACAAAAATTATTTTGCACGAAACGAATAATGGTAATTTAAAAAAAAAAGTACTTGTTAATCATAACAAAAATAAAATTCGGTAATATTTTTTCTTATACGTAATTAATTAATTAAATTCCATACTTTCTATACGAATATCTTTCTCATTAATTGTAATTTATTATTATTATGTAATATTGTAATTATAATTTTATTATTTTAATTTATTTTTAATTTTTAATTTATTTTATTAAATATATATTTTTTATTAAATTAAATATTATGCATATAATATCTTCCTCATTAATCGTAATTTATTATTATTATTAATTTTATTATTATTATTATTATTATTATTATTATTATTATTATTATTATATATTATTTAATTAAATATGTTTTAATTTATCTAAATTTTAATAAATTATTTAATATATTATTTTTATTTTATTATTTCGTTAATAAATTGTAAAAAAAATTTAAATTGGATCGAATTAAACGTGTTTAGAAATTATTCTCGATTGCAAATATTAGAAGTATTTATTTGTCAATGATTTGAAACACTTATTATCCAATTAATATTTAAAATTTCGTTCTCAATTATCGATACATAATCTTGTTAGTTATTGAAATACCAACCCTCACGAGAACCACACAAGGGACTTTGGTAGCATCATAAATGAAATCTTAATATAATTAATTAAATTTTAATTAAATATTTTAATTTATTCAAATTATAATAAATTGCATAATATATTAATTTTATTTTGTTGTTTTGTTAACAAATTGTTAAATATATTTATATTGTATCGAAATAAACGTGTTTAAAAATTATTCTCGATAACAAATATTAGAAGTATTTATTTGTCAATGATTTGAAACACTTATTATCCAATTAATGTTTAAAATGTCGTACTGAATAATCAATATATAGTCTTGTTATCGAAATACCAACTTACACGAGAAACATACAAGGGACTTTTTGGTAGCACCTTAAATGAAACCGAAAAATCGCTGTGAATTTTCGAGCAGTTGTTGTTTGTACGAGCTAAAACGAGAAGCATCCAATTAGCGAATCTTTTCCGGCCGGCTTAAATTTTAATGATTCGTGAATTCAAGTAGTCTTATGAACTCGAACTCTCGAGGTTGCTGCGATTTGAAAAAAAAAAAAAGAAAAAAAAATGGGAGGCCTATTGCTCGAATTCGCTTTGGAAATTTTTCGAATGTTCATTATTTTTGTTTTGTTCTTTTATCTTTGTGTATAATCTATTATTTTATCTTTTTATTGTTTTTTTTTCTTCTTGTTTTTTCTTTTCTTTTTAAAGCCTTTTTTTTCCAAACGTGATACTATGCTCTTTTTGATTTTCTTTTTATTTTTTCTTGCTCTAGGAAAAACTCAATCACCAGCACTGTTTTTTTATTGTGCGTTTGATTTTTGTAACTTTAAAAGGAAATTCCCCCCTCCCACCACCACCGATAGTCGTAGAAGTACCGAAACGAAAAAAGGTTACTTGAAAAGTACAAGTAGAGTGCATTGACGAGAAATTTTTTTTTTTTTTTTTTGCAACGACGTAGTATATATATGTGTTATCGGAAATCGATATAAGCCATAAACCTATCGATGTATTTCTTTATATTTTCTACGTTAATATTTTTTCCCCTCCTTTTTTTCCCCCCAGTGTCCTATTAGTTTTTGTTTTATTATATTTTCTTTCTTTTTTTCTTGTTTTCTTTTTTAATTTTTTTTTTCTATCTATCGAAGATTAATCGTTCTAGGTATACTTTTCATTTGAGTTAACAAGAATTATTATTATCATTATTATTATTATTTTAGAAACAAGAATTATTATTATTATTTTAGAAACAAGAATTATTATTATTATTATTATTAATTGGCATAATAAGAATTATCTTAAGTAAAAATCATTTATTATTTATTAGTTTTCCATAAAATGTTAACACAAACGAGATATTCTTTAGATGTAATAAATATAATTGCAGAGAATATTTCTCGTGCAATATATATTCTGAACAATAAATTAATTATTTCAAGATGTATATATACATGTACATATACTGTATAATATGTATAGAATTTTAAGAAAGATTTCATTTGAAATTAGCTTACAAAAGTGACTCGAAATATCTCTCGTGAATTTCCATGAAATGGATTTTAAGCATTAAATTTCATCTGGCAATTTTACTTGATACAACTTTTACGACTTCCGTTTCCTCGGTGTTTTCGCTAATTTAGGATACCTAAGAATAATCTTTCTTCTCATATTCAAAAGAAATCTAGTGAGAGAACGAAAGATAAAGAATTAAAATGTATATTATCTTTCTTGATATCTTTCTCGAATACTTTTGACGTCATTTGACGAAACTTTGTCAAATAAGAAGATGAAGAAGAAAAAGAAGAAGAAGAAGAAAACAAGAAGATGATGAAGAAGAATAATTAATTGTAAGTAACCTTGGGAATACACTTTCCCATCGTTTCGTATATAATTCATTTATTTTTCTCAACGTTTCGTTTCAAAATGTCTTCTTTAACATTTAATCTGAGTAATTAAACTATAAGTGACGATTTTAGGTAAAGATGAGCATCGAATCATGTATTCTCTTTATACATAATTTTAATCATTTCAATTGGTCTCTTTTTATATTTTCTTGTTCATTTAACCTCATAAAGTTTAAAGATTTCAATCTGAAACTTAACACAAGTATAATTCTTAATTATTTCTCAATTAACAATAACAATTCACGATAGGTTTAAAATTTGGTTAATTTCTAGATAACTCATGTTTATATATTATGCTATTTATCGTCTCTTTTTTTGTTATTTTTAGGAAAAACAAAAAACGAATGATTATTATGAGATCCATGAATTGCATCGTCACGAAACAAGTGCAAAGTTTTACAAAAAGTTAATCACAAAAAATATAAGATATCACATATAAATTAAATTGAGTGTGTTGCGATCAGTGATAAACATATTATTTAAATAATTATTTATTTTAGGAACAATCTTATTATAATAACTATTGAGGGTTTTTTTTATTTAATGAATTTTTAATACAAAAATTCCTAACATCTTAACAATTTATATTCAAAAATTATAGTGTGAATGGAATTAGATAAATTTCATTATGTTTAACTCATCGCACACAAAATTATCTTCTTCCAATGTTCACTAAAACGTGAAAATTGTTTTGAAATTATGTGAAATTCATTTAACAACTTTGAGGATCATACATGCTAATAAAATTTCAACTTTCCTACGTATATATGGTACAATAACGAAATATATTAACACTAAAACTATTTCAGAATAATTTGCTTTTGACAAAATTAATAATGTGTATTAATCATTATACAAAAAATATATAAAATATACATTACAACAACCGATATAATACGATAATACATAAAAATAAGTTTGTGCATTTGATTAATAAGTGCTTTATTTGTACAAATGTTATCAAACTAAGGTAACTTACATAACAAAACAATGTTAACACGAAAACTGGCTCGTAAAACTGTCAAACGCTGAGAGCTCTATGCCTATGTTATGGTATATGTTAAATGTGCAGTGCTATATATGTGCCTATGTTTACGTAATACAATATACTTGGAATCTAACAAGTACCACGAGTTCGGTTTTCATGTTTGGTCTTGGCGATACGAAAAGCTTTTCCTGCTTGGAAACTCTACCTTGCCAAAAGTGAAAATATCCTTGAAATCACGTTAACGAATACACTTTTTTTATTTGGTCTTGTTTCTGCAACATTTCTCTAAAAAAAAAAAAGCTTTTTATGTATAATCAAGACGAAACAATTGTTAAAAAAAAACAATTACATTTTTTACGTGCACATTCTCGATACGTGTAGGTATATATTATTATTATATATATAAATATTATAATAAATAAATAGTTAAAAATAATATGTATATTTGTTTATACATATATATATATATATACAAATTATTTTATATACATATTATTTAATTGTTTATTTATTTATACAGATTGCTAAATAGTAAACCCCGTGCATAATCACACTACGTTATCTATCTATAATTCCTTCTTTGCCTATACATACTACTATTACGTATTCGTGTTATTTGTATCTATCTACTACTCATTTAGTATTCTACCTATCTATCTATCTATCTATCTATCTACCCATTCGTCTATCTATCTACTTACCTAACTATCTATCTATCTACACTATATATCTATACCATATGTCTATTTGTACTTTTCCAACTGCAGTGTTGTGGTGATTGGTGACCTGTACTGTACTTGTGTTTGCAGGCCCGCAGCGCCAGTACAAGTAGCTTTAGAAGCCTGAGCCAGGTACATACTAAAATGACATAATCCACATATATATATATATAGATAAAATCTTAGAATTAGCTATTTAGCTGAAACATAGTTAGATCTTTTCTTAGATCATAGACACTATTGTGCCGTAGAGCAGTAGAACACAAGCATTAAACAATTATAAACATGGTATATATACTATATATATATTATACATTTAACATATGTTATATTTAATACATGCATAAAATAGATTTCAAAAGTTCAATTATTACAGATATTTACGCAACACTATTACACGTTATATATGGTAGGATTGAGTAACAAGGAAGAATGATGATAATATTCTTATATTATTATAGAAAATGACAATAATCAAATTTGTTGTATTTTCTTCTGAAACAAAAAATGCTGCGATCTCGTAATACACGGTTACGTACATGGTACATACATATGCATGCTCGTGACTTCTACTTGCGTAAAACCTATACATACATTTAGGTATATAGAAAAAGAAGCATGGCATATCCACACTTCTTCTACTTTTCTATATTATATTAGATTATTCGTCTGGTAGTTGAACGAAATCCGTAGTTATTGCATGACCTTTACTATACTTTAATAACGCTTGTGTGTTTCTTACACAATATGTTAGATTAAATATCCATCTTACTTTTATACACATCTCTTATAACAATAAACTTCTTAATTATTTTCTTTCTATCTATCGATTATAATTTTAGCAATCATCGTTGAAAGTGAATGTGAAAAAACGAAGTAAGTATTTAAAGAAAAAAAACAAAAAATCGCGTAATGTGAGAATGTACGTCAATATAAATTGGCTAATTTAATAGAAAATATGTGGAAATGATTTTGAACGTTTCTTTTTAATTAATAAACTTTAATAATAACGTATATATATATATTATATAATAAATTATATTATAATAATATAAATAATAAATATATATTATATTTTTATTATATATATAATATAAATTATAAATATAATATTATAATTTATTAATATATTATAATTAATATATAATTATATTTTATTTATTTTTTATTATTATATTATATTATAGTTATATATTATAATATTATAATATATTATATGTTATAATATTATTTATATGCATATATATATATATATATTAAAATATATTATTAATATATTATATGTTATATATATATATTTATAAATTACTCCTAGAACTCATAAAATAAAACTAAAAAATAGAAAAGAGAGAAAAAAAAAAGAAAATATAGGAATATCGTACGTGGCAAAAACCCCAAGTAGTTCGCAGTAATTACACGGTAGTGTACGTACTTTGAAAAAGTTCCTCGGGCGTAGATCTTTCGCGTTACTTATATCCTTCTTCCCTTTTTTTTCTTTCTTTCTTTTCTTTTTTTTTTTTAAGAGACATTTTTCATAAAGTCTAGCGACTAAACCGGGCCATCTTTCATATCACGATGGTTCGTTTTTTCCGTTCCACTCGTGTGTCGCGTCTTCTTAAAAACTTTGAGACACTTCAAAGGGGTGTGTTTTTCTTCTTCTTCCCCATACTCCACTCTGTTTCTCTCCCTCTTTTCGCAAAGTCGAGTAGATACCACTCGAGTAAAATTCGTGAAAGCTCCTCCTCCATGACCAATCAACGAAATTAACGAAGCGAATGTCGTTATTTAGTTAAAGAACGTTTTTAAATCATTCTCATTTAAAATTCTTCCTTCAAGATCGTTGATCACTTCTTCATTTATTTATCTAGTCCTTAAACTTGACTGTTTGAATGAGAGAGTCTAATTAAACGAGCATACAATTTTCTGCAATTTACTATTTAGAATAGGGAAAATGAAAAGTTTAGAGATAGAGATAGGTAGTGAAAAAAAGAAAAAGGAAGAAAGTATAACAAAAAGAATAAATAACGCGATTTAACTTAACTTCGGGATAAGGAAGTAAATTCCAACCGAACTCGAGAACGAGTTTGGTTGTCGAGAGAAAGAGAAAGAGAGAAAGAGCTTGTTAACGAAAAAAAAAACGTAAGATAAAGTTTTCCGTTTAAGGGTTGTGTGCAATCGGAAAGTCTCCTTAAACTCGTGACAGGTCCAGTTTTCGCACCATAAAGTAGTACTTGAGTAGTGGTACTTTGCAAATAAAAGGATGGAAAGACGAGCTTTGGAAACGATCGCTCGTTTGACTCGTTTAAAGTACTCTTCTGACGAGTACAAGTTCTGAAGATACAAAAACGATATAAGAGAAAACGAGTGTCAAAGAAATAAAGAAAGAGAGAAAAAGAGAGAAAGATAGACAGTTGTGAGTGACTTCTTTCATTCGAAATTGTCCGATGGACCACCATCAAAAGGGTGCGAAGTGAAAAAAAAAGGGCAAACGAGATTCATTCCGTTCGGAGCTTCGGCCGAAGAACGGGAACGCGATCGATGCCCCGGTGCTACACCTCAGACGACAGTGGTTCTCAAAATGTGCATGAAAAATCTTTAAAATATATATTTATATATATACTAGGATGTTCCGGTCATGTATTACTGTGGTTTTGTTATAAAATGTTGATTTAATATAATTCTAAACTGTTTAGTAAATTATAACAACACACAAAATAATAATTACAATTAGAATTGAATGGATAAAATAATAATACTCGAAAAAAAATAATAAGCAAGGTTAGTAAATTTGAAAAAAATTTATGACGTGAATATGTCAAAATAATTGAATTGCAATACAACGCTATCTATTGAAAACTTACAGAACCTAGACTGTAACTTTTTTATAAAATGTTGATTTAATATAATTCTAAACTGTTTAGTAAATTATAACAACACGCAAAATAATATTACAATTAAAATTGAGTGCATATAATAATAATACTCGAAAAAATATAATAAGCAAGGTTAGTAAATCTGAAAAAAATGTATGATGTGAATATATCAAAATAATGGAATTGTAATACAGCTCTATCTATTGAAAACTTACAGAATCTAGAGACTCAGATAACCTCAAATTAATAAATCTTTAAGTTAGCAATAAAAAATGCAAAATAATCGCGATAAAAACTATCCTATATTCTAAATTTAAAAAAATCGTACAAAATAAACAAAAATTCATTCAAATTGGTTAAGTAATTTCGGAATCCATAGTAAACCAATAATGTGACACTAACCATTTAAGAAAATTTCAACGAATTCTGTTATTTGAAATAACATCTATCAATTTCAATATTGTTAACGTACTTAAGATTTTGATAAATATATTTAAGAATAAAAAAAAGAACAAATTCATCATAATTAAGATCAATAATAATTCGTAATTATTTTGATATATAACAAATGAATACAATTTGAGAACCACGTTGCTCTTAGACAACCTTTTTCACTTTTTAAAACCAACCGTTACCGCCACCAACGATCGAATTGTTCCATTTGTTCAATTATTAATCCAGTACAGCTGTTTCCAGAGCATGCACCACAGGTGCACTGACACGTTCCAAGGGCGGCCTCTCTTCGATTGCCGATTTTAACGGCCTTCTTTACATTTCTTTTCGTGTTTTCTTATTTAAAGAAGGGAAACAGAAAAAGAAAAAGATAGAGAAATAAAAACAATGAGGAATATAATCGATTAATTGATCGATTGATAAGTCTTAATAATCATTTTGTTAAATAATCGATCAAGAAAGTAGATGATAATAAGGTTTCGATATATGTGTGTGTATATATATATATATGTTTTATAGGACAGTTAGTTCAGTGTATATCCTATTAACGAATCAACAAGTATTACTGGAGTATTAGTTAGCAATATTTTATGATATATATATAGTTTTCTTAGTGATTTTAGTATTTATATAGTGAAAACTTATCGGCATTAACCTATATATGAGAATAAGAAAGTAGGACTTTTACTCTTTTGTGAAAAGTTGTTATCGGTTAAAAGAATGTACAATATTTGTCGCAGAAGTATCATAAAAAGGAAAATTTCATACGTCGCGATTCTGAATAATGCGATAGATAAAAGCAACGACGTTGGCATATGACGTGTGGTTTTATCTAGTGTTGCGAGAAAACTTGCCATGTAAGTGTGTACAGCACACACGATGATATGTGGAAACATTTAGAAATCGGGTCAAAACCATAATATCACGTGTCGTTTTTACGAATAAACTAAATAATATGTACGCATGTATTATCATTTAAAAAAAAAAAAAAAGAAAAATATATTCCAAATATAATGAGAGAAAGAGAGAGAGAGAGAGGTTGGGTAGGGTACGAGAGGAAGGGGGAAGGGATTCTACAACGTTTAAATCGTTAAAAGGGCCATCGTACGTTTCACGTTTATATCGATCTGGTCGATGAACATGTCTAATGTTCGAGACTGGATGTCATTAATTTTCGTGTGTCATACGGATGGGTCTCACCCTCCTCCCCCTTGTCCCCATCCCGGCGTCATCGCAAAAGTAAAACTCCGTTAACTTTATCGATGTCATTTGCATCGTTGTTAATTATTCTTAACGCAATTAACTTCATTTTGATCGATGTACGTGTAATATTATAAAAGTAAAATGTCCCCATAGATCGCGTTTATAATATTATCACTTAAAATAATAATATATTACTTTGAGAAAATATTATCATTAAAAAAAAAATGAAAATATATAAACTCTTCGTATTTTTTTATCATTTTTCATTGTCCTTTTATTATTATTATTTATCAAAATTATTCCATGCTAACTGAATAAGAGAAATCATTGAATACAGAAAATCTTTGGAATGTTGTACACTCTAAAATAAAAAATATCTACAACAAAAATCGATGATCGATATATAATCGATGTTTTATATATAATAGTACTCGATTATAATGCTGCATATTTTTCAAATAAGAAAATGCGTGGGAAGAGGGGTCCTTCCTTCCTTCCTTCCTGTTTCTGTCGTTCGAGTGTAGCTTTTCAAGGGCGGGTTGCAGTCGGCCCCAATTATTGATCCTTCAGAACCGACTACCGGGTCTCCCCTAGCAAACACTCGGACAAAATTTGAGTGGGTTATAGGAGGGGCGTGCTACGAAGGATTTTCAACGTTTCTGGAAACTTCCCGGGGGTTCTGAATCTTTCTTTCTTTATTTATTTCTATCTCTTTCTAACTCGTATAAAGAAAAAAAAAGAAAAGTGTGACGAGTTCGTTCATCCAGATAGAAATAAAAAGTTCGAAAAAGATAACAAAATTATTATGAAAAAAGTCTTCCTATTTCACTTTATTTATTTTTTTCTTTTTGACGTTATTATTATTCCTGAAAATAATGAAATGTAAGAAAATATAAAGAAACAATTAAAGACAAATACAAAAGTATCACTAAATAAATACACACATGTGTGTTATCGTTTGATTACACGTTAAACTTGTTAAACATGACCTTGATAGGGTCGTTCAGGTTTATGGGTCTCAGGATCGTAACGAGACCTTTGGTGTGTTGTATCCGAAGGGTTGAGAAGATGTCTGTCTAATCGGCCATGGAAGCCATGCTCTACGGACGGCCTATTCCTGTTTCCCCATTTTAGGTATTCTCTAACACGGAAACAAATATCTCACATGAAGAGTAGTCTTCCTCGAAATTGCTTCACCCTATTACGTAAGCGACCATGTATGACCTCTTACTAACTTCTATGTTCGTAGTAGTTTAATATCAGAGGTGTTTAGGGTACAATGTTATTGCAGAAGATCCTTTAAAACGTGTTTCTAAGTTTTAGAAGTAAGAAATTAGATTATAACATTCACCAAGTTCTTAAGTTGTATCGATTTTCATTACGTTTTCTTTTTATATTTCTCTTATTTTTTGTACATGAACTTATGTATATGTGTGTGTGTATTATCGTGAAAGACTGAAATTGGAGAATATCAAAATTCACATGGAGAAATGTCAACACGTACAAATATGTCGTTGGTAGAACGAATATTTGGATTTATCTTTATACATTAATATTTCGAACATATACTATATATATATATATATATATATATATGAGATCAAATAATCAAATATATGAAAGGATAATATAAAGAAGCATTTAATAAAATAAAATTCATTTGATGCGTCGCATTTTTCTTGCTTTCAGATACTAATTTGTTTATATTCATTTTAATGAAACAAAATAAAAAAAAAAACCGAGAGATTAATTTGCATCAAATTAATTGCAAATAACAATCTTTGTTTTATCTGATAATCTAAACGATAATATTCCTTTAGCATTTACGAATTAATCAACGTGAATTTAACCATGAATTACAAACTTTAACATAGTAGTCTTTAAACCCATTAACCATCGTGTATGAAACAACTGAATGAAACTGTGTAAAATGATTTTATAAATAGAAAATAGTTGATGCATATTTCATTCATAATCCCGCAAACTAATTCTCATCTTTTCAACGTCAAGATTAAACAAATGAATGAAATTGTCTAAAATGATTTTATAAATAGAAAATCGTTGATGTTTCATTGTATTTCATTGATCATCTCGCAAACTAATTCTCATCTTTTCAACGTCAACATTTAATAATAATAATGTAATAACAAATCGTAAAATTTAGGAATGTCATATGTTTTTTTTTAACTAATATGATACTCTAAAGAGCTTCCAAATGATAAGAATGGAAGGTAACTAGCTAGTAAGGTTATCGATTCATTCATTAAGCACATGGATGACTAATGTTCACTATCGGTATGCTCCATAACTTACAAGGATGCTACGTTGGTCTGTTACGACTTGCTTTATCATCGACAATGATTAACATTCTGCCATTAATCTGTTGTAACAAACGGATATTAAATGGCCGCGTTATATGCGAACGTAGTACTAGTCTTCAATGAATAAAACAAACGCGTTCTTTTCATTTAAGAAAATATTATTTTGCAATATCTTCGATAAAAAAATAACATTCACAATAATTTCTAGACATAGACTAGAATAATATTCCAAATGTTGTTTATTATTTTATATTAAAGTTACATAATTATCTAAGTTTAATCCAAAAATGGATATTTTTGATCTTATAACCTATAAAATGAGAAAAAGAAACTACAACTTTTGTGCACACAATTTTCTTTTTAATTTTTTTATTTATTGTTAAAATAAAATAATCCTATCTTTTTACTAACATTCGATTTTCATTTAAGAAGACCATAAAAAAAGAAATTTGTAACCTAAATAAATTAAAATTTACTAAATTGTAATGCAGCGTCAACTATTGTATAATTAAAGAATCAAAGGAATTAGATAATCTTTAAATAATATATCGATAAATAAACAGTGAAAAAAATTAAGAATTGCTATCGGTATGTTCCATAATTTACAACGATGCTACGTTGATCTGTTCGGAATTGTTTTATCATCGACAATGATTAACATTGTGCCATTAATCTATTGTAACAAACAGATATTAAATGGCTGCGTTATGTGTGAACATAGTACGAGTCTTCAATGAAGTTCTTTTCATTTAAGAAAGTATTATTTTGCAGTACCTTCGATACAAAAAAAAAATAATGTTGTTGTGTATAAATTTCACTTTTTAATATTCTGAAGCATTAATAAGGCTTTAGAAACGTATATCATTCGTTAATAATAAACAAAAGATTTAATGAATTAAAAAGAGAAAGAAAAAAAGAGAAAGCATTTTTATTTCGATTCGTATTCGAATACTTTCGCTATATTTTATTATATATATATATATATATATATATATTTTTTTTTTTTTTTT